CCCTCTCCCCTCAGCATGGCTGGCTCAGGAATTCTGGGAGTTGAAGTCCACGAGTCATAAAAGAGCTAAGGTGGCCTACCCTTGCTTTATAGGATCCATTCTGCTCTGGGTTCCTCGGGCCCTTTGGCAGAACCAGGTCTTTGGGGTCTTACGAAAGACTGTCAAAGTGAGGGCCAGTCTAATCTCTGCAGGGATGACAGTCAAAAGTGGTCCCCAACCCCTGGTCCGTGGTCCGCAGCATACAGCAACCGGTCCACACAAACAAGCAAAGCCCCATCCGCGGGATGCAGGCAGCACACAAAACCACGCACCCTCCGGTCCGCGGAAAAACCACGGAACTGGTCCCTGGTGCCCAAAAGGTTGGGGGCCTCTGGTCTAAAAGGAAGGAGCCATCATGGGGAAGGCCCTGTCCAGAAGCATCTGGACAGAAAACCAGCTTGGTTGGAAAATCACACAACAAAATCGATGGAGAGCCTCAATCACCCGGGTCATAGTTTCTTGGGGTTCCCCCCCCCACAGAAAACATTTTCACTTCTCCTCTGAAAAAGCTTCCAAGAACTGAAGAAGCTTCTTGGATGAGAAGTGAAACCTTTTCAAGGGAAAAAAAAAACGCAAGAAAGTCCAGTTGCCTTTTGTAAAAGCATCTTTGGGGAACACAGCAAAGTCTTCCAACACTTAAGCCCAGTGGGAGACTTGGCTCTTTTAAATGCTGGCCAGGCAGAAATCCAACAGGTGCATCTGCCACAAAGGCTTTGCTTGCTGGTTGGAGCGTCCCGTTCATCCGTTCTCCCGGAGCAGCTCACTGTCTGCTGACTCTTAATTGCCTGGGAAAAAAGAGCTGATGTCAAGCCCAGGGGAATGCGAGCTATTCCTGAAATTGGGAAATGGGGCCGGTGACTCATCCCTGAAACGGCGAGGGTGGCATGACTTCATCGGCCTTGTGCCTGCAAAGTGCCCCGGTAATTCTTACATAATCGCAATTGCAGCAGGAGAGCATCCCAAAGCTGAAGCACAGGCCAATTAAAGGAGGTTTTCTCTCTTTAATGACTTCCCCGGCAGAAATGCTGAATCAATCTTCAGCCATCTAAAATCAGTTGGTGGGAAGCGGGCCTTTTCCTTTAAGTGGGCTCCTTCCAGAGGGGGGGGGGGACTTCAACTCCCAGAATCCTCAGCGGCCGGCTAGAGAATGCTGGGAGCTGAAGGTGTGGGTCGCCCAGAATTCTCTGCCAGGGTCAAACTGGGGGGGCGGGATTCTTGGAACGGGAAGCCCTCTTCTTGTAGTGAAAAATAAATCGACAAAGCGGTGTGGTCTGAGATGGCAAAACCCATCATCCTGGACCCACAGTCCAGGTGAGGGGCACCCCAGTCCATGGAGGGGACCTCCCACAGGAGAATTCAGATTTTCTCCAGCCACGTGAAGGTCCTCGAAGCAAGGAATTAAATGCTTTCCTTATCCTCAAATGAGAACCATCTGTCAAGGCGGCTTCTTTGTGAACACAAATGAGTTTGGGGGCTTCTCCGTGGCTGAACAGCCTCCCCAGATGTGTGAACAGCTGTTTGGAAAGCACAAAGCCCCCTCCTCCATACGTGAATATTCCTTCCAGCGGGCTCTTGAAAACATCCAGGGCATAAAGCAAAGAGTTTCTTTGATCTTCAGACATGATTTTTTCAAAGGAGACTCGCCTCTTTATGGGGAACGTCACTGCTTTTTAAAATTGCTTCCTTTTTTTTCAGCTAGAAAGCAACAAACGCAGGTTTCTAGTCCTTAGGAGCCGTGAAGAGACTGACATAAGTCTCAGGGGGCCCAGGGAGGCCACCAATGGGGTGTGTGTGCCTGTTTGTCATTCCAATAGGCCCCCGAATCAATGGATCAGGGGAGGATCAGAGAACAGGACAAATCAATTGATCCATAATCAAAATATCTCAGGCTGAGCCCTTGCCTTAATATTGGCCACTAAGAGGCCCAACTACACGGTAACACCAAACCAGCCCCGGCTAATTTGGAAAAGCTAAGCAGAGTTAGGAGCTGGATAGGAGACCACTAGGAAATCCACTAACTGCAAGCTAGATCAGTAAGCCACAATAAGTAAAATCCTGCAACAGACCATGGCAAACTACCGGTAATCCTCAACTTACAACAGTTCATTTAGTGACCGTTCGATGTTACAACGGCACGGAAAAAAGTGACTTGTGACAACTGGGGTTCATACTTAGGATGGCTGCAGTGCCCCGGGGTCATGTGATCCCCTTTTGTGACTAACTGCAGTGGTTCAGCTAACAGCTGCGGCAAGAACGGTCGCAAAATGGGGCAAAACTCACTTAACCAATGTCTCGCTTAACAACAGGAAGTTTGGGCTAATTGTGGTCGTAAGTCGAGGACCACCACGGAGTCCTCGGGCGCTAAGCAGGAACTGAAAGATGCTCCATCCGGATTCCGAACATGGTTGGCTGGGTTTTGCTCTTCCAAAATCAGATTAGCTTTGGATGGAGGAGCCAAAGATAACCTGGAGATGTGTTTTATGATGACTTGACATTAAATTAATGAAATATAATTCACAGCACCCACTCCACTGCTACGTAGGTCTTAATTTGCCCTGGCTTGGAGGCATCTTTAGCAAACTGGCTTTAACCATTCCAGTTTCTTTTTCCATTTCCCCCCCCCCATATTTAAATAAGCCAACGAAACCCAATTAATAATTGACTTTTGCAGAACGCGACAGTCCTGGCAAGCCAGCTCTTTCCTTTATGTTTTTCCCCATTTCCCTTCCTTCTCCTTTGCGTGGGAAAGAACAATTTTAGAAAGACATTTTTTTTTCTCCCCCAGATCAGATTTGATCGAAAACCTCTGTCGATTCCTGGGAATTTTCACCGTCGGAAAACACGCATCCTTAACCGTGGATCTTATCTGAACTGCTTCAAACAGGACCACACCGGCTGGCTGGCTTTTTATTTTTCTGATCTTTGGAAGTGAGATTTCTTGGGATGTTCTTGCTGTCCAGAAGCTGCTTCAGCCGGTCGTGTTTGTCAACACAAGAAGCCACGCCCCCTCCTGGGAAGCCAGCCAACCGGAGGCCCAGCAGCCACACCTGGCCGAGGCAGGTAAGAACCATCCAGTCACCTGGAAGAGCAGAGGCTATAAAAGATTTCTCTGCCCAGGTGATGTGGGCAGTGGAGTTTTGGAGAAGATTGTTGTGTGCTTAAGGATTATCTCCAGCACGTTTCCCATGCCTTAGAATGGAGCAGAGCCTGTTTTATTCCGTTGATTGAAGGAAGGAAGGAAAAGAAGAAGAAAAAAAAAAAGAGCCAGAAGCTAAAACATGCGTTGCTGCTTCTAGGAGCTCCAACTCAAGACAGGTGAGTTTGCTTTTCAAATGGCTTTGAGCAGGTGAGAAAAGAAATTCCCCAAAGATAGGGAATTTACCAGAGGTTAGAGAATGAGAAACAAAAAATCATTTTGATTTGTTCCCGGAATATTCTTTTTTACTTATTATTCATGTTTCAAGTAGGTGCCTTTCGCTCATAAATCTTGAACACGCTTGATTAATACATTTGTGTAACAGTAGCCTAAAATCAGTCCAAATGTTCTCCTTTTATTCTTGGGAGTCTCTGATCAATAACTTGGTTCTAAGATATCCGGGGTTTGTGCAAAAAGCAAACGGTTTAAATTTAAAAAAAAAAGATCTGCAAAGCTCCAGATGACCCCTAGGGGAAGCAGAGAGAAATGGATCTCAAAAGCTTTTCAGCCATCTAGAGGCCGTCTGGAGTTTTGCAAGCACAGGGTCTGCACAGATTTACAGCCGTTTGTTTTAATGACCAGTTAGGATACGGCTGAAAAAAAGGGACTTAAGACCAGTCCTTGTGTTTACGACCATCTCTGTGGTTACATGATCAAAATTCAGGCGGTTTGGCAATCAGCAAGTATGTATATATGACAGGCATGGCATCCTGGGGGGTGTGTGTCATGTGATCATCACTTTCCCATCCCATTCCTCAATGAGGAAAGCCAAACTGGTTTCCTGAGCATGGAAAAAATGTTTGCGTGACTCATTTAGCGACCGCATCCCTTAGCAACAGATGCTCCGGTTCCGATTGCCGTCGTAACTCGAGGACTATCTGCAGTTCCAATGAAATACGAAGGGGCATGTGATGCCGATTTACAACTGTGATCAACTTTAACCGCTCCGCGTCTGCCCGCAGCCTCTGAGTATTTTTGGAACATGGTTATGGAATGACAATCTTGGGGTAGATAAATCCACCGTCACGCTTGCTGGAAGGCAAAAGGCGGGACCCCTCCTTAAAAAAATCCCTGAGTGTTAAATAGTTTGAAGTTGTTAAATAGTTTGAAGGCTCCACCTCTAGACGGTGCTTCTGACAAACATCCGGGCTCGTGGTCACTTAATCATCATCCCACGCGTGGCGATTGAGTGACTTCAAAGAGGATGTGGATGGGGAAGGCACGGGGACTCGTGCAGAGGCACACCAAGAGGACCTGTTATCTCTAGGACATTATGAACAAATGCAAAAAGTTCTACTTTTTAAAAAAAGCAAGCAAGCTTTTTTTTTTAAAAAAAAACAATCCATGCTTTAGGGCGCGGATTCAATATGTGAAGATGGATGGATAAAGCTTTGTGCAACTGGAGGACCTCATGGACGGGAACGGGGTGTGTGTGTGTGTGTGTCGCAATGGAGTATCCGGAAGAGGAGTGCAATCAAGACCCTTTGATTCAAATTCAGCTTGGGGGGAGATTTTGCAATGGGGTTGAAGGAGTGATCCTTTTTGCAGCCCTATAACTTTTAAGAAAGCTTTGGGTGGTATCTGAAGTTCAGGGTGCTTTGCTCCTTATGAATACTTCTCCTTCCACCGATTCATTTTAAAGAAACAACTCAAGAAGTCCACAGCAATGCTGTAAGCATTTTTCTCGCAAAATCCAGCAGGTGACTCCATCATCTGAATAAACATCACCCCAACATCTCTGGGCAAATGACTGGGGTGACTCAGTTTCTTTCGGGTGACTTTAAATTCTCCAGAGAAGCTACGCTCCAAAACCCGTTTTACCTGTTTGGGGTAATTTAATGTGAGTTACCCACCGCCTCCATTACCACCACCCATTTGGGCTAAGTGCTCACTAGCTTGTAAATTTTGCTACGTGCATTTGCTCTGCTAGATTTCTTAGAAGTTGCTCTATAAATAAAGTAGCCAGCGGAAGTTTGCCGGGGTTGACATCCCAGCTCAGCCTCTGCTCCTGAATTTTCTGAGGCAGGAGGAATCACAAGATAAAAAAATAAGGATTTATTATTATTATTATTTTTGCCCCGGCATTTGCCTTCTGTCCCCAAGCCTGGAGCACGCACGTCCCTTAGACAGGTGCCAAGCTCTGAGAAATTATACACATTGTAAATAAAAGCCAGGTGGTTAGCACAATTAGCCTGGGATTTGATAGGGCCAGTAAGTTGCTGTTACAAGGAGATAAAAGCAGACACGAGGTGAGGTTTACTCATGCTGAGATGATGAGAACCAGGAAGTGCCCCCTCTGCCGCCGTTTTGCTGGTTCATGCTTGCAAAGCAGGAAAAAAGGCAAAGCTAAATTAAAATAGGAGAGATGGGCTGTTTGCAAGGAAGCGGAAAATCCTAAACAGGCAGTAGATTTGCAAAACATCTCCGCTGGCAGAGCTGTTTTCCCACAGAGGACCGAGTATCCGCTTGCAAGCTGATGGTGGAAAGAAGGTTTATTTATGTATGTGGAAGGTGGGTCTCTTGCCAACAGCACAGGGATACTCTTCCCAGGCCTGGAGGGATGTAAGTCTGTTTGCGGGAGAACCAGAAAACTGGTCCTCGTTTTAGGGAGATCTCAAGTCTCCATCCCCTTTGACAATCTGACAAGTTTCAGCATCGCAGGAGAGAGGAAAGGGGTGTTTTTCTAGACGTCCGAGAAGAAACGAGACAAAATGGTCCTCTTAAGACTCGTGGTCAGGAGGGGTAGTTCCAAAGTTGGGAAGACGTGGTGTGTGTGTGTGTGTGTGTGTGTGTGTGTGTGTAGCAAAGCTTCACAGCTCATTTTTTCTTCAGCCCCTACAAACACAACAAAGGGCAAATTGTGTGCAGCTGGCTCTCGAACACACATCCCGAACCGAGGGAGTTTAGCCACGCTGGCATCCGCTATGCTCTGAACCGATTCTTATTCTGGTTTGTCTTAGGCTTTGTGTGCGGCCGGCCAACGCTGCTCCCCAAGCAAACAGGGTCTCTAGCCGGACCCCCGAGATCCCTTGTGGATTTCATGGAGACAGCAACACTCCTGCCTTCTCAATTTAGGAGAAGCACCGGCTGGGGTACGTGTGATTTTATTATTTTTTTTTCTCTTTTAACGCAGCTCTTTCCTGGTGTTTTGGAGGAGGGGGTTCTCAAGTTCTAAGGGAAAAATCTGCTGGCGTTCCCTATCTCCAACAGTCGATATTCTGGGCAAGTGACTAACATGTGGATTTTTATTCGCATGGAAGGTTAAGAAGATTTGCGGAAGACTGAAGAAAAAGAGGGGAGGGTCTTAGAAAGAGTTAGGAAATAAATCTGTACAGCAGTGTTAATCATCCTTGGCAACTTTTAAGATGGGTGGACTAACTTCCAGAATTCTGGGAGTTGAAGTCCACCCAGCTTAAAGTTACTTTGAGAAATACGGATGCAGAATGACTCCATGTTGGCTTACTACAATTAATCCTGGTTTCTTATTTCCCCAGGTTCTGTTATGTCCTGCTTCACCCAGGTCTGGCACACCGAAGTGCCAGAATCCCCACCCTCGACTCCCCAAAGTCCCATCCCGGCGGCCCCCCACGAGAGACCCATCCCGCTCATTCCGATTGTCATCACCTCTCCCTCTGAGGAAAACAGACCCGCCGTGTGTTCGCCCGTGGGGTCTCTGGTGGGCTCCCCCGTGGATGGGAAGACCAGGCTGGGCTCTCCGACGGACCGGCCCACCTCGCCGATCGAATGCTCCATCTGCTTCAACACCTACGACAACCTCTTCAAGACGCCCAAGGTCCTTCACTGCCAGCACACCTTCTGCTTGGAGTGTTTGGCCCGGCTGACGGCCGCCCTGTCTCCCAATCGGGTGGAGGACCAGCTTCCCTGCCCCTTCTGCCGGCAGCTGACCGAAATCCCCCTCGAAGGGGCTCCAGGGCTTCGGACGAGCAAAGAGGTGATGGCCACGCTGCCCCCCGAGCTGCAGAAGGAGAAGCAGCTCTGGATGGAAGGCACCAAGCTGTGCTGCAGACAGTCCTCCGATCCAGAGAACGCCCACACCTGCATCACCATCGACATTGCCCCCAGCAAGCCCGAGGTCCCCGAGACGCCCACGGAGGGGGTCATAGGACGCCTCTCCCGCTGCTCGATTTGCGACGACTGGAAACGCGTCCTTCTGCTTTCCGTGTTGATCATCATTCTCTTCTGCATCATCCTGTGGCCGGTCCAGTGTATCGTCAAGACGGGGAACTTGAAGTGCCTCAACAAATTTACGCTCCCCCGGCCAAACTACGTGCCTTACCATCTCACCACCCCGGCCCCCGTGCTGGACCACACCAAATTCATGGAGTGACGGACGGGGGAGGGCCGTGCGGTACCGCTTCCGAGGGGTAGGGCGAGCGCTGATCATTTGGGAGAAAGTCCACTGGAGTCCTAGTCTCTTCTGGAAGGAACCGGCGACGTGGGGTGGACTTCTCCTGTCCTTTCTAGAGGATTGCGTCGGGTTCGATGGACCCGGCGCAACGCAACTCAGGGAAATGCTTGGGGTGTCCACCGTCTTGGGACAGTTGGATGCTCTTGATCATGTCAACCTGATGCCCACTTCCACACCTCCTAAGTTGTTCTGTGGTTTGTGAGGCGCCACTGCCAAAGTTCATGCAGAAGACAACGTAGGGGAGAACACAACACTCCGCAACGGGGAGAATGGTGGCAGTGGCGAGAGAACCAAGAGGCTTTCGCCTCCCAAGAGATGCAACTCAGAGCCAAGGAACCAAATTCTGCCTACTCCCCCTTTTTGCTGAGGGCAAGGGGCTGACCCTCAACATTTTGCCTCCACCTCCGGTTTCATTTGGGCGAAAGGAGAGGATGCTTCCTTTTCTATTGTTATTAAACATTTCAGTTTTATACCGCTGAATTGTGTGTGGTGCGGTTGTTGTTATTGGGGTAACATTTTGCCCCGCCTGTTCTTATGGCAGATCAGAAGAGAGAGAAACAGAGGTAACTGGAAGAGAGGGAGGAACGATATTGGGGCAACTGAGATGATATAAAGAGCAGTGGGGATGTTTTGCTGGGGTAGCGAGAGACGTTCATACGCCTTACAGCCAAAACTGACCTCAAAATTTCTGTTGGGAAGTGAGACGGCTGGGAAGTGCATTTTTCCCCATTTTATGACCTTTCTTGACCGTTGTTAAATGACCCCTGCACGTTGTGGAGTTAGTCACACGGTTCTTAATTGAATCTGGCTTCCCCCACTGACCTTGCCTGTCAAAAGGTCGCAAAAGGAGATCACGTGATCCTCCGGGACACTGTAACCGTGATAAATACGAGTCAGTTTCCAAGCATCTGAATTTTTATTTATGTGGCCCACGGGGACGCTGCAGCCGTCGTGTGAAAAATTGTCGTCACTTTTTTCAGTGCCATTGTAACTCTAAACCGTCACTAAACGAACGGTTGTAAGTTGAGGACTATCTGGGTGATATTAATTGGTGGCTTCAACTCTGCATGTTCAGATCATGTTCAGGCATAAGAAAACTTGCAACCTTACCATATTATTGTAAGAACCGTTGATCGGGGCAGAGAATCGTGAACTACGGGATCCCACTAGGCTCAGCTCATGTTGATGGATGCTGGGAACTGTATTTCAGGCAATTCTACATTTTTATTAGGCCCTAGGTTAATCTACCTGGACAATTCACTAATGTGTGTGGGGGGTCACAGTTCTTCTGTAGGATGAAATTCAAATTTTCTCAGCCTTAGCAATTTCAGAATGAGTCAACTTCAATTCCCAGAATTCCCCAGCCAGCATGTGTGGACTTCAACTGGCCCGAATTCTCGGGCCAGCATGCTCAACAGTTGTAACCCCTCTGCTCTAAACAAAGACACTTGTTAATTCGCCATAGGTCTTTGGTTATTTGGGGTTTCTCCCGTGTAAAATTGGAAGTGTCTTGGCGACGTTTCGACGAAGTCCCCTTTGTCATCTTCAGGCTGGTGTTTTCAGCTTCGTGCTTCTAGGAGCAATGTGTCATTGCTCCTAGAAGCATGAAGCCGAAAACACCAGCCTGAAGATGACGAAGGGGACTTCGTCGAAATGTCAACAAGACACTTTCAATTTTATGCGGGAGAAAACCCGAATAATCAAAGACCTACATACACCCGCGAAAACCTCAGAAAACAAAAATATATATTTATATATACACATACAGTACGTACATCCCCACAGTGATTTGTAGCCTCTGTTACAGGCAGAGACGCTTGTGGATAAATACAGCATAGCAAGAAAAGGAAGGAAATATATCTTGCCTCTTGCATAAATTAGACTAGTAGTTTTCAAGTTAGGCAACTTTAAGTTGGGTGGCCTTCAATTCCCAGAATTCCCCAGTCAGAAACATCTTCCAATCAGCAGGATGGTGGGAGAATTCTGGGAGTTGAAGTCCACCCCTCTTAAAGTGGCCAAGATTAAAATCCACCGAATCAGACCAACGATTGGTCTTACAAGACAGAGTTTCCTTAACTGGAATTTAAGGTACATTCAGGACGGAAAATCCAAGCGGGAATTAACCTGCGTCAGGCCTGGAGGAGAGAACGACAAACTTTGAGGCAGAAACAAAACTGGTATCCTTTCAGATGGCGCCGTTTTTTAAAAACCAACCCTTGGGAAGCCTGTAGGAGTTTGATGACATCCGTAAAAGCCAAGACGGAAAAGGATGCAGTGTTTCAGTTTTTCGTTCCTCCCACCCCACCGTAGCACAGGGATATTTCAGTCTAAAAGGCAAATAATCCTGAAATGGATTATTTGAGTGTCAGCTGGGTTCAACAGGGTTCAGCTGTGGGTGGGTGGGGTTTCTGGAGAGGAGGGTCCTACGATGCAGTGCTTGGCGAGGCGATCCACCGGTCTGTCAAATCGGAACACAAAATAACACACCTGGACACATGCCTACCTACTTTATAGCCACCTGTCTCCAGCCTGGGCTATAGCAACTATCTTCCGGAGTTAGTATATCCTGAGACTTTGGCGGTTTTGATACTGAGATTCTCGTAGACGGAAGTCGTTTCTTCGTCAGCCACCCTGTGGAGTAAAAGAGGGAGAATCAGCAACCAGCTTTACCAACCGGCTGACATGTATCTGTACCTCTATAATTCGAACTAGACTATGATGTGTCTCTGTGTCCTATACATGTGTGTATGTGGGTACATGCATAATGGTATTTTTTTTGAGAGCTGAATGCAACGAAATTTCATTTCAATGTACGCTGATTAGTGTACATTTAATGTGACAATAAAGATTCTATTCTATTTATTTCTATTTCTATTATTTCTATTTCTATTTCCATTTCTATTCTGCATTCTATTCTAGTTTTGCCATTGCATTGGAAGGAGAGAACAAAGGATCTTACCCTATCTGGAGGCGAGGTGAAGGAGGGCAAGTCTTGGCTCTGGGTTTTTCCATCGGCAAATATCGGATATTTAAGTAACCTGTGTCCTTCCGTAGACATCTCTGAAACAGCAGGAAAAAGTTACAATGGTTTTATGATTACTCATGATAGTGGTCATCCAATTTCTAAGGGGCTGCCAGAAAGAAGAGGAGGGGGGGGAGGGTTCAAGCTATTCTCCAAAGTACCAGAAGGCAGGACAAGAAACAATGAAATGGAAACTCATCAAGGAGAGAAGCAACCTGGAACTAAGGAGAAATTTCCTGACAATTAGAACAATTAACCAGTGGAACAGCCTGCCTCCAGAAGTTGTGGGTGCTCCATCATTGGAGGCTTTTAAGAAGTCACTCGTCTGAAATAATATAGGGTCTCCTGCCTGAGCAGGAGGCTGGACTAGAAGACCTCCAAGGTCCCTTCCAACTCTGCTTTTTTGTTCTGTTCTGTTCTATGATAAAATGCTTATTTTTAAATGCCGAAGAAGTCAGGAGATTCGGGCAGTTCAAATGAATATAAATATTTACTGCAAGCTTAAGCTCTCTACAAGAATCCGAAGTACTAACAGCCAAGGAAAATTAGTGGGAGAGAAGAGTAGAAGGAATTCAAGGTGGGCTGGGCGCAGGGACTCATGACTGATGACGCCTTTGACGCCTCCCTCCCTTGGGTTCAGCCTGGTCATCTCCTACACTTATGCAGGTTAGGTGAAAACTTCCTCTGAAGTCCAGCATTTTCTTCCAGTGAGAGGCCTTGAGCAAACCCAATGCACAGCTCGTTAAGTCGAGGACTACCTGTATTAGGCATGTTCGCCACACTGAATTACTTATAAAAATATAACAAAGGCAGGCTATTAACTAAAATGCACAACCGATAAATAATAAAATCGCTGGTGGGAGATAAATAGCCCGCCGGGGCCTTGTAACGGAGGAGATTTCTCCAAGCTAAATTAACCATCTGTGGGTCTCTCTTATTTTGCACCAACGGTGTGTTTTCCTTACCTGTTCCTCTTCTAGCTCCTTCTGCTGCATCGCAATGAACTGTTGCACCGCCATGTAGACAAATTTGTACTGGGCTTCCGTCTGCACCATGCCCGACCTCTGCCTTCGTACCATCTGGATTGTCTTTGAGATGTCGATGTCACAATGCAAGCCTGTTGTGGGTCAGGAAAGAGGGGAAAAAAAAAGAGTTAAAAAATGTCCAGGCAGGCAGGTCTGTAGGAGGAGGGCGAGGGTGTCCACGTTAGACTCTTACGCTGGTGATTATTTATTTTTATAGGCAGGCAGTCCTTGATTTACGGGACCAGGAGATTTGACAATAATTGAGGCCTCACAGGATCCCCCCCATCCGACTTTGATCTTTTTTGCCACCATTGACCTTGACTTACAACCGATCATTTAGCCGCCGTTCCAAGTTACAACGGGGCTGAAAAACGGCACAACTGGTCCTCATTCAGCCTTCAGCGGGGAAGACAACTGGGTTACTAACTTAACAACTTCAGTTGTGGCAACAAACTGGGGCAGAGCCCACTTAACCAATGTCCCTTTTAGCCACAGGAATTGTCGGGCTCCCTTGTGGCCGTCGAGGACCGCCAGTAATGGCTTCCTGCATAAAATGAGAGCAAAAACCAGGTTGCCTTTACCTTGTCGGTGAATCGTGTCCACCAGCATGTCTATCACGATGATGGTGCCCGTCCGTCCTATCCCAGCACTGGGAAAAGGGAGAGAAAAGGAAGAGGTCGAAAAGATAGCCACACAACTCTCCTTGCCGAACACACATCACCATCCACACCACACAACTTCTAAGGAAAGACTGAGGGATGTCTGTTAGGAGTACAGTCCAAAGCTGACCCTGGAAGTAAGGGGCGGAAGTTTGTTGAAGCAAAATCCAGCCTAGAAGGTGAGAACAATTAATCAATGTCCTCCCGGAGCTGTCCTCCATCGCTGGAGGTTTTCAAAAATAGACCCTTTGGCCAGGATGGTGTTAGGTCTCCTGCCTTGAGCAGGGGGTTGGACTAGAAGACCTCCGAGGTCCCGTCCAGCCCTAGGATTCTAGGTTCTAATGGAGAGAAACTGAGGCAAAGAAGGGAAACACGTGATCATTACATTCACGGTCCGCCGGCTGGACCAGAAGGAATTGAGAGCTCAAGATTCTCCTCAAAGATTTATAGGTAGTCCTTGACTTATGACCGCAGTAGGGAACCAGGAAATTTGCTTTAAGTGGTGCAGATGTTAAGTGGGGCATTGCAGGACCATGTCCGGTTTTACAATCTTTTTTGTCACTGTTGATAAGCAAGATATCACTTGACTGTGATGTCTGACTTCCCCATTGACTTTGCCGGCTGGGAAGTCATAAATGGGGGTTGGTAAGCGAGACAGCCCTTGACCACGATGTCTGACTTCTTGCCGACTTCCCCACTGACCCTTGCTTATGGGAAGCCGGCTGGGAAGGGCGTAAATGGCGGTTGGTAAGCGGGACAGCCCTTGACCGTGACGTGGGATTTCCTGCCGGCTTCCCCATTGACCCTTATCGGTCGCCGGCTGGGACGATTGCATATGGCAACCAAGTGACTGCAGGATTTGCCAAGTGTCCAAATCACAGGAGTGCTGGGACACTTCGACGTTTGTCAAGGTGAAGACCAGCCATCTCTCATCAGTCGTTAACTTCAAATGGTCGTAAACTGAGGACTACCTGTACTGGAAGAGGGATCTGAAGGAAAATGTCCTTCTGAACTTGCCCCTAGTTGATCTGGGTGGAAGAATCAGTAGAAGCTCCAAGCAGGTCTTGAGGGCACCTGGGCAAGGCGGAAGAACCCAAATCCAGGTGTCCTGAGGTCCCTCACCTGCAGTGCACCACAATTGGTCCCGACTCTGGAATATTTCTGTGGGCCTTGTTGATTTGGTCCAGAAAGCCGAGAACACCGCCTGGCTCAGTCGGGACCCCATGATCAGGCCAGCTGAAATACTGGAAGTGCTTAATTTTTCTGGGCTGCTCTTCCTGGACAGAAGGAGAGAGGGATGAGATTAAAACCGTGCAGAAATATTTAGATGTCACTGTGATGGGACCTTCATTGATTCGCGAGACGTCGGTGGGGGAATTGTGAAGTGTGATGACGGGCAAAGCAAGTCACCGAGAGTTAACATAAACAGAACTAGGTAAATATTTGCATGGCTGCCCCCGCAGTGAAAATAACACAACCCCGGCTCTGTGATTGCGTGCTCTTTTCCTGGAACTTCTGAGTCACTTAGTGTTTGCCACAAAAAAATAAGAGAACAGAGAGAAAGACCCTGGAAGGGCGTGAGTCATTAAACCACCGAAGGAAATTGGGCTGGCATTAAACCACCCTGTAGGGACAAAATAACGAGAGGCTGTCAGAATAAGACCAGCATGGGCAGAGATTGGACTGGAAAGCACAACAAAGAAACTACACAAGAAAAGCAGGCTGAAAAGGAAAAAAGAAGCTGCATCTTTTGGGACCCCCGTTTGAAACTGCAGGCAAATCAATTATCTGAAATAATTTCCAGTTATTCTGCTGCTTTTTACGGTGGCCCATAAATTTAGGCAGCATGTTAAAACGCCCAATAAAACCCCCACTTGCTATCTTGGAGGATCAACAGGTTTCTATAAAGACACTCTGTTGGCACGAGAACTAGAAACATGACTTTTTACAAACAGGAAAACCCACCCCCACTCCAATCTACCCTGTCTATCCGTGCAATCTGCAAATCCCGGATGTAGTAGCCCTGACATTCTCGCTCCCCGGTATTCTGCACGCCGATGTTGCCGAATTCCTTCGTGCCATTTTGATCCGGCCAGTAGCGAAAACACTTGTTCTGCAAGGCAAAAAGAGGAGAGGGACAAACTCAGTTCACACGACACGTAAAGCCGAAAAGCCGTTTGACTGGGGTTTTTTTTTCTTTTTTCTTTTTTTAAAGGTGCGGAGTGAAGATGGCTCGCATAGGAGGGTTTCGCGTGTCTTGTGAATCCAGCCAGTTAAGACAGCAACGCCAAATGATGCCACAAGCTTTTGATGGGACGGGGAGGGGCATTTAGGAGGGTCTCACCCTGCCTCGCTCAACCTCCTTGGTGGTCATGACGATGATGTGGGTGTTTTCCTGGTAGATCATGGTCCAAAAGTCATTGACGGTGCTTTGGAGACAGCCCTGGGTGGCGATGTAGATTTTACGGTGTTCGGCGCTGTGCCCATCTTCCAGAGTATTCTAGAACAGGGGAGAGAAGAGAGGAGGGGAGGACAGAATATAAGGCAGGGACCCCAAATTAGGAAAGGCCGGGGCTAAAGGAACAATAGAATAATAGAAAAATAGAGTTGGAAGGGATCTTGGAGATCTTCTAGTCCAGCCCCCTGCTCAAGTGGGAGATCAGCCTAGACCATTTCAGACAAATGATGGTCTAATCACTTCTTGAAAACTTCCAGTATCTGAGCACCCACAATTTCTAGAGGCAAGTTGTCCCACTGATTAATGGTTCTTACTATCAGGAAATTCTTCTCTCCTTGCTGAGTTTCCATCCGTTGCTTCTTGTCCTGCCTTCAGGGGCTTTGGAGAATAGCTTGACTCCCCCTTCTTCGTGTCAGCCCCTCAAATACTGGAGCTCTACTATCATGTCACCCCTATTTCTTCTTTTCACTAGACAAGACATACCCAATTCCTGCCACCAAGATTTTTTTTTTTTCCTCATCTAGGTTGATTTGACATTTAGGAGATAAACTTCCAACAGGCTCTTCATTTTTTTTTTTATATCTATATTCTTTCCATTTCTTTTTCTGTCATTCCATCTCTGGACGTTTTCAAGAAATGGACTGAATAATAGAAGATCAGAGTTTGGAGGTCATCTAGTCCAACCCTGTGCTGAAGTAGGAAACCCTATACCATTTCAGACAGATGGTCGTCCGTTCTTTTCTTCAAAGTCCCCAGTGTTTGGAGTAGTGTTGGAAGGCTCAGACTGAACTAAGTCACCAGCCACTGAAGCTAACACCCAATTAGGCTCCTTCATTAGAGATTATTAGATTGTCTACTTTTTTCACGAGCTGATTGGATTTAAACCGCCGACAGTCTGGAGCTTCCCGCTCCTTGCAGGCCGAACAGTTTCACAATATTTTTTTCCTTGCTGCATTTATCCAATCTCAAGGAAAAGGGCCCCCCAGCCTTCCTTTCACGTGCACAATTAAAAAAAAAAATTAGCGTTCTGCAATTTTGGGAAACACGTCCCTAATGAACCGTCTTAGATCTGCTCCCAATTGCCTGCCACTCACCTTAATATAGTTGGCATTGATGTAATCGGAACTCGGGACTCTGGGATCCGCGTTCCGGAGAGCCACCCGCGTTGTGTCAACTGCAAAGAGAGGGAAACAGCATAACCGCCAGAAAAAAATTAGCACCCGTCTGGAAAATCACAGAAATATTTTAATTTAATGCCCAGATTTATATCCGGAATGTGTTCAATTGCCCGCTTTTTTTAAAAAAAAAAAACACCTTAATTGCTTTCACTCCTGGGTGGGATTTTGTTCACAATCAAAACAGAGAGAAGAGCCCTCCAGCTTACTGCTTCTCTGCACAACAACCTTCCAAGGGAGGCACGCAGGGCTCAAATAGGGTGAAAGAAGGCTGCCATGCCACTCAGCTAACCTCCAGGATACAAACTGGGTTCTGAGTGCGAAACAGGTGAAATTCCGGGGTTGCTTAAAAAGAGGTAAGCATGCAAGAACAGGAAAAGCACCAGCCATAATTCTATTTTCTATGATTATAGTCTTCCTTTAAAGGCAAAACATTTCCCGCTTTTAGGATCGCTTAAAAATTCCATGGAATTCTTACACGGAAGGATGTTTTTGTAGCGATTCTTCGCCTTGTTCTCGACGCGCTGCCCTTCCTTCCTGGGATAGAGAAATTTGCACTCCTGCTGCTGTAACATCTGCAGGAGCCAAGAAGTCAGGATGGAATCACCGTTCCCATCGTTGGTTTTAAAACAAACCCCATGATCCCCAGCAATGGCTGCCCTAAGCCAGGAGGATGGGGGAAAAGATCCCACCGCAACATTTCATATCTATCTGGGTGAAAATTCTCAGAGTTAATAATAATAATAAAGTTGGAAGGGACCTTGGAGGTCATCTAGTCCAACCCCCTGCTCAGGCAGGAAACCCTATACCATTTCAGACAAATGGCTGTCTAGTCTCTTCTTAAAAACTTCCAGTGTTGGAGCATTCACCCCATGGACAGGAGATTTGATTGGCCCTTTTTCCCCCCTGTACCTCAAATTCTTCCCAGAATCCTTGCTTCGCTTTCTCGCTCTGGTCAGCCATCTTGTTCAGCTCCTTGACCCGGTTCTCGATGTTGGCGGCGATAATCCTTGTGGCGTTGAAAGGCTGGCGGAGACAGAATCTTCTCTAGATGTTGAAGGAGAGAGAGACCCCTGTCTCTTCCCCCCCCACCCCAGTTAAACGCTCGGCACAGGTGACCGACTTACCTGTTTCAGGTGTACCACCACCCCTGACTTCTCCACCATGGGGTTTTTCTTGTAGTGCTCCACCAAGTCAGCCAGCGTGTCGAATCGCTCTCCCCCGCCCACGTCGTACTTTCCGTCCAGCTGCCAAAGGAGAACCAGGTATGGAGGTTGTTGACCCAGCGAGGGGGAAACCGAGGCTAATGTTCGCTGGACATCAGATCGGGACAAAATACAGATAGTCCTCGACCTACGACGGTTCCATTCAGTGACCGAAGTTACATCAGCACTGAAAAAATGTCACTCACTCGGTTGCCAAGGATTCCCTTCACCACCGTGGTGAGAAAGGTCATCCAACGGGGCAAAACCCCACTTAACGACTGCCTCGGTTAGCAACAGAAATTTTGGGCCGTAAGTGGAGGACTGTAGGGAGCTATTTAATGCGAAAGAGGAGAGGAAAGAACTTTCCCATGCTGGAGGGGTTTCGACAGATGGCCAGGGGTGGATTCCAGACCTGGGCAACGGGCTGGACTAGATGGTTTCTAAGGTGGATTTTCTTCTGGAAATCGCTGTACATCAAGGGAATAAGCTGCTTTGGGAAGACACTTCTTTTACTGGAGTGTTTTTGGGCAGCGGAGGTTTGCATGGAGAGTGGGTTAAATCAGAGGCCCCAACCTTTGGGGCTGTTTTTTCCCCATTTTTTTTTCCTTTTTTCCAAAGCCATTTGAAGAAAATGGGGGAAAACCCCTGTTTTTTTCCCAATTTTTTCCAGGTTTCCCCCCCCCCCATCTCTAGATAAGTCAAGGACTACGTAGACTGGAAGGTCCCTTCCAGTCTACCCTTTTTGACACCCTCCCGAGAGGCAGGCTGAAAGAAAGCGGGATCGTTGCGGGTCCTGACCTGGTAGCGGATCATGATGTGGGTCACCCGGGGTTTCCGGTCCCCTGTGTCGGCTTTGTCCTCGTTCGTCAGAACGGACAAGACGAAGTCGCCTGGCTTGCTTTGACTGCTGCGGACTAAAAAGCTGCCGGGTTTGGCTTTGTCGGTGAGGAGTTTCTCAGCTTCCTTGCCGGTCAGGTGGCCATGATACCATCTGAAAAAAAAAAAAAGACAGGGCGGCTTTTCAATGGGAAAGATCAAACTGCCCTCTGTGCTTCCCCCCTCCCGCCCTCAATCCTAGCCCTGGAGACCCTTTCCCACCCTGCTTTTTTTCCCTGGATTTGTCAGCAAGGAACCTCATAAATTTGCACATTTAATGATCTGCTTCTCACCCTATTTTGCATTTCAAAAATCGATCAGAAGGGTCCCCGGAATGGTGCATGTCCTACTCTGGCCTCTAGAGGGCGCCCGCCCTCTATCCCCTTGCAGCATCACCTTTGGATGTAAATAAAAGCCAATTTGAGCAAAGAAATCACCCACTGGCCTACCAGGCCCTTTACATTTCCAATGGTGGGGTATAGCTGCTGGACTACGACTCCCAGGATTCTTTGCTTTTGGGCCAGACGGCTTGCTGTTTGGATGGGGCACCACCTGGAAAGCCTAGGGAGGTGGGACAATCTTAGAAATCGGAGGAACATCCTGGAAAAAGGCAGGGGGGGAAACTGCCCCCCCAAATCCCTACTGGCTCACAGCTTTGAATTCACGTGAAGGAGGCGACTGAGTGACGTAAATGTTCCCCATGTCCATCAGGAACAAATTAGTGGTAATCTTTTTCTTCATCAAAGTGAGAAGCACTTTTAAGACGACTGGATACAGACAAATCAGTGGGAACGTTTTAAACCCATTGCACAGTCCCGGAAGAGATTCCGAGCGTTTATTTATTTATTTATGAGACTTATATACTGCTTTAAGTGCAAGCACTCTCTAAGCGGTGTACACCAGTAAGCAATGTATATATATATATATATATTTACATTGCCCCCAACAATCTGGGTCCTCATTTTACCTACCCCGGAAGGATGGAAGGCTGAGTCCACCTTGAGCCGGGTGAGATTTGAACCGCTGACCTGCTGAACACAGTCAGCTAAAGTGGCCTGCAGTACTGCACTCTAACTGCTGCGCCACCTCGGCTCTTCCCGCAGCATTTTCTCCATCCTCGCAACCGATCTTATAAGATAGGCCAGCACGATCCCCCAGCACGATCCTCCAGCGGGAGGACCTGCGTGGGCTGGCTGGCTTCACCTGCCTGCCCAACTCACCTTTCTGAGGTCGGATCCTGGCAATTGAGTGGAAACCGTAACTCGATGGTGTTGCTGTTCTTCTCGCGCAAAAGGCCCTCCTGGTCAGTGTAGTACTGAATCAGCTCTGCCAAGGTAGCAAATTTTTCCCCTCCGTAGAGGTCATAGTAATCGCCCGTGTTTTGGATTTTGATGTGGGTCACTTCATCGTTCCTCCTGCCGTCAAGAATTGGGGAGGGAAAGGATGACGATGGACACCATATACCTCTGATTCTCCCCCCTAGGGCAGCTTTCCAAAAGACGCCCGAAGATTAAAAAATAAACACAGGCTGCGATTCTGACCGCAGCAGGGATATATCAGATAATATACTGTATGCACATTTGTTAAAATGAAGAAGGCAGGATGAAATAAATGAATAAATATAAGTCGTCCTGAACTTGCAGCAGTTCATTGAGTGAGTGCTCAAAGTCACAACATCACTGGCAAAAGTGGTTGATGGGCCTTTTTCACACTTACGGCCGTTGCAGCATCCCACGGGCGGGGGAATCAAAATTCAGATGCTTGGCAAATGACTCATATTTATGACGGTCTTTGCGGCCTTCTGACCAGCAAAGTCAAGGCGGGAAAGCCAGATTCACATTAACCACTGCGTTACCAACTTAACAGCCGCAAGGGTTCATTTCCGAAATGTGGCAAGGAAAGTCGTAAAGCGGGGCTTAACTGTTTGGCTTAGCCACAGAAATTTCGGCCTCAATTGTGGTCGTAAGCCGAGGACTGCTGTGATACCCCACCCCCTCTTTGCAAATCAATTCTTGCAGCACAGAGAAAGACTTGAAGCTGCGTTTTAAAATCTTTTTTGACTTTTCACTGCGTTAACTTCTCCCAAAAAATTTAAATTGATGCTGGCCCGTACTGAAGGCCCTTCGGCCTGCCACCAGGCCACACCACCCTTTGTGTGAGGCAGACCCACAACTGTATCCTGGAAGCCTCCAATCAGCTTTTTAAAGGAAGCCGAGAGACCCTATGTCACATCAGACGTTTCCTAATTTTGGGAGAAATTTTGCAAACGGGCGGGCCGCTGGCAAGTCTGTGCCAAGAGGGCAAGGATGAGTCACCGCAGGAGCAGAGCGAAGGCACAATAAGGATATTGTGTTGTTGGGAATCAACTTCCTGTTCCCTTCATCCATCCACCCAAAAAGCTAGATTTTTTTTTCTTCTCCCTAAAAATTTAACCAAACAGCATCCCCAGGGCGTATGCCTCCTTCGAACCGCATTTGAAGTGTGCCTTGCTCTGGTCCAAATCTATCTTTGCATGTACGAAGAAGGCAGATAATACAGAACTTCAACCAACGCACGTATTTTAATGACAAAAATGCTAGGTCAGTCCATTAAAGCCCATTAAAATCACCAGCATGAAGGAATCATCCATTAAAAAAAAAACAACAAACGATACAGCACTGAATTAGAGCAGCTGCGTTCTGGAACGCAGGTTTATATTATAATATGTCTTACTCGCTCCAGAATAAATTGCGCGAGGATTGGGTTTATTATTATTATTATTATTCCTATTTTATTGTGGCAGATGGCTTTTCAGGTGTTTTAAGGCACGGAGGTGGCTGTTTAGTTAATCCAACAATTGCATCGAGTTTGACTTTTTTTTTTTTTTAAAAAAAAAAGGTTGAAAAGGAAGCTGGGAGATTGCAAAGCAGAGAGAGGAGGGAAAAATAGAGCGAGGGAAATTGAATGGTTGCTGAAATGCCTTGTAAATTGGTACAGATCAGTCAGATTTCAAGATTCGTCAAAAAGCAACCTAGAATTGACCTGTCCCGAAGCCAGAAATTCTGTACAACCGAAAAACAAATCCAGTATCACTTTCTTTTACATCTGGGTTAAATATCCTTTTCACCCAAAATCTAGGCAACATATTTTTCAGGCATGCAAGACTGACTCTCTCTCTCTCTCTCTCTCTCTCTCTCTCTAACTTTGAACGGTCACTAAATAAACAATTATAAGTTGAGGTCTATCTTTATGGTCATGAGATCTAGAAGCTTGTTTTTTTTTTTAAAAAAAAAATGTCAACGAACTGGATCTTCTGCTAGCACCACTGCCGTAAAAGCAGAACTGTGCTAGTTTGTGTATTCTTTTGGGTCCCCTCGCTTATCTATCTTTCTTTTAAAAAAGCAAAAAACAAAAAACAAACAAACCAAAAGCTTGATTAAGAAATGGGAGAGCTGTTTTTTGTCTGACCAAACTCATCCATCAAATATCTGGAGTCTGGCTGGGCTCTCTAGGTAGACTGTCTCCAAAGTGCCTTTAAAATGCAATTAACGGGAGCCTCGGAAATGGAGCTCCCGGTGAAACGGAGCAGCTTTTAAACTGGGCCAAACAGAATTAACTCTCCTTGTGCTGGAAAGAGGATTTCTTTCCTCTCTCTCCCTTTCTCCATGCTGGAAATACGACCTACCTTTCTTTAAAAAAAGAAGAAGAAAAAGAAGAAATTAAATATTGAAAGTGCCCTCAATTAAATATAAGCAGAAGGCATGCAACGTGCAGTAAGTTTTCAGAATATGAAAACTGGGAAACATTCTAGGCTAAACGGAACAATAGAGGGGATCACCGTGACAGATGTGCAAGGAAAAAAAAAACTGTTTATAAAATGAAAACTAGGTGTGTAGGTAGCACCTACCTGACCGATAACGTGAAATCTCCGGGGTTGCTTTTACTTGGCCGGGCCAAAAAACTGCCATGGATGCCTCTGGTTAGGAGCAGTTTTTCTGCTTCAATCCCGCTGATGTTTGGATGGAACCACCTGGAGGGATGGGGGGGGGGCAAAAAACAAAGAACACCCCCGTATTAATAAGATGGGCAACTGGGTTTCTTCATGGGACGCAGGAGGTGGAGGGTGAGCTTAAAAGGTCATCTAGTCCAACCCCGGTTGGGATCTTAGAGGTCATCTGGTCCAACCCCGTTTTGGATCTTAGCGGTCTAGTCCAACCCTGTTTGGGATCTTAGTGGTCATCTAGGCTGTAGGAGAGGACCAGGCTGAGCGCGAGGGAGGGGTCAAACGCGTCATCAGTCATACAAGAGATCTAAGTCCAGCCCGCCTTGAATTCCTTATTTACCACCAATTAGCTTTGACCATTTTGGATCTTAGCGGTCATCTAGCCCAGCCCCGTTTCGGATCTTAAAGGTCATCTAGTCCAACCCCGTTTTGGCTCTTAAAGGTCGTCTAGTCTGACCCCTTTTTGTGCTTGAATTCTAAATGATCTCCAACAGATCCTCCTCCTCATCATCATTAATTTTCATTTTTTATAGACTGTTTTCCCACTAAGAAGTCCTTATTACATGCTCCCTGCATGTATGACCCACAGTAACGTTCTATGGGCTACCTCAGATTTGGCTGAATGGAGCTTAGCTAGCTATGCTGTTTGCCTTCCCGGCTGCTGGACCTTGAGGGCAAGCATCTCTGGGGTGTTTGCCCCCAGACTCAAGACTGCAGGCAGGTTTCGGATAAAATGCAACGGAGCAGAGCTTCTGTTCAATTCGGTGGGCTGGCTACAGTTTTAATCCCTGCTCGCTGCTCCCCGAATATTTGCTGGCACAGAAGAAGCAGAACATCTATCAAGTATATTTAATAATTAAGCAGGTTTTCCCAAGAGAGACTTAACTAAACTTTATCTCCATCAAGTAGCACAACAATATGGTCAGGGAGGGGAGAGGGAAAGAAGAGAGAATAAAAGTAGCCACATGCAGCATTTTAAGGACATTTAGTGGAGTTAAAAAAAAAAACTGACTTGAAAGCACACACAAAAAATTGTGTCTTAACAATTAGCCAATTACTCAACTAAGATAGCAAATTACTCTTTAAAAAAGGGAGCGGGGATGGATAACCACCTTAATATAAGCCGTTATAGCCCTGTTTCTCAACCTCAACTTTCAGAGAGGTGGACTTCATCTCCCAGAATTCCCTGGCCAGCATGCCAGAGAATTCTGGGATTTGAAGTCCACACAGCATCTAGCTCTAGTTGAGAAATCCCCAGTCAAACTTAATGAGATGAGCATCAGGAAGGAAGGAAGGAAGGAAGGAAGGAAGGAAGGAAGGAAGGAAGGAAGGAAGGAAGGAAGGAAGGAAGAAAGGAAGGTAGGAAGGAGTGGAGAAAAAAGAGTCAAAATATTATTTTCTTGACTTGTCTAGGAGGTATGTCAATACATTTTCTGGAGGTGCAAAGGAATGATGAAAATAGCAAACATTAGGAATCAGTCCACTGTGGTTCCACTGAAAATCTTGCAGAGAATATTACTTGGGGCACAGAGAGAAAATGCATCAAGATAGGGAGGATATGTTGTTTTGGTGGCTTCAGAAGCCAAGGTACAGGTGCTGCACAACGATTGTCAGCACAGCCCTGTTTGCAGCCTAACCACAAATATTTTTAGCACTTAACCACGTGTTGTTCAAACCACAGAGTCTTATCTGGGCAGAGTCACCCAGCGAAGAAGGACGATGGGTTTTCCTAGGGCCAAACCACAAAGAATCCTCCCTGGCTGAGCACGAGAACAAATGGCCCCATTTCTCAAAGAGAGGCTAACCCGACTGCGCTTCATCAGGCCGCTAGACCTCATGGAGGCTGCTGCAAAAGAAAGGGCTATTCTTTGTGACGTCTCAGCACCACACGAGAAGAAATACAGACTGATGTCCAAGAGGGTTTTTTTTCCTCTCTGCAAATGGGGAAAGAAAACTCCATAGGATATCAGTCCAGTTCAAAGAACAGCGAGGTTGGAAAAGAGGAAGAAAACAGCCAAGGGAGATTTCTGCAGTGCAAAGACTCTAAACTTCTAAATGTATAAATAAATAAAATAAACTTATTTCCCTCTTACAACCTAAGGATCAACGTTGGACAGCCAACTAGAGGGCTCTATTGAAAAGTTGCCAGTTTTTTTTAAGGGAATCAAACCACCACCGTGATAATAAACAATTTTCAGGGAGTCCTTTGACTTGAGAACCGTGACCAGAATTTCTGTTGCTAAGCAAAGGGGTTGTTAAGTGAATCACGCCCAACCTTACGACCTTTTTTGGGGGGGGCACAGCTGTTAAGAGAATCATTGCCGCTAAATGAATCACACGGTCATTAAATGAATCTGGATTCCCTCGGCTTTGCTGCTCGACGTCGAAAAAGATGATCGCACGATCCCGGGTGGCTGTAACGGTCATAAATACAGGCTGGTTGCCAAGTGCTCAACTTTTGTTGATATGACTGGTCGTAAGTACGAGGACCGGGCTGTAAGTCACTTTTTTCAGTTGCAAGTTGCTTTTTTTTCCCAGACTTACCAATTGTAAGCCACTTTTTTCAACTTTCTAGTGTCAGGCGGCTATTTCAATTCCTTCAGCCCTATTCCATCCAATTTGGGAGCTGTAAAGGCTGATGTCAGCCAGGCATTACCAGGCTATTTATGGTTACTGTTTGTTCATCTTCATCCTTCACAGCCATTTCCCCCTCCAAACAGGATGTATTCTTTTCTTTTTTTTTCCTTTTCTTTTTTTAACTTTCTGGGTTCAGTCAGAAAGAAAAGCATCTCCATTGTCCGCGGATGCCTAGCCCGACTCCGGCAGACATGATGCCCTTCAAAAAAAAATCTGTCATGGAGGTTCTGCCCTGCCAAGCCGCTAAATTTAGAATTTGCCAGCTAAAGAAGAAAAAGTAAAGGAAGAGTTGAATCATTGCAACCCTGCATAATTTGGCCTGTGTGTTTAAAAAGCATGTTTACCATTCCTGGGGGCGGGGGGGGGGGGAGAAGAATAAACTGGATGGATTCTCTTCTCCCAGAATCCTTAGCGACAACCAGATGAGCTGGGGAATTCTGGGAGTCAATGCTAACACATCTCATTAGATGAGGGCATGCTAGGTGATTGATGGATGGAAGGAAGGAAGGAAGGAAGAGCAGAATCCAAGTTTAAGGAAGAAGAAACGATATACTCTACTGAGGACTGAAGAAATGAAAGCGATCTATAAAAAAATTACGTCAGATTTGCAAGACACTAAACCAAGCACGCCTCACCACCAGCCTTGCAAAAAACGAAACTCAGTTTTGCAAATATTAATAAGTTAAATTGCCCTGCTCAAAAAAAAAATCGCTAAAACCTTGCCAAAATTTGGGAAAAGGTACGCGATGTTCTCCTTGAACTGCACACGGAGCAAATATTTTGGCCTTTTTCTTTAGGTCCAAAAATCTCTCCTGGGAGACGGTACCTGGAAACCTGTGCAGCACGCTTGAATTTCTTATTCTCTGCTGGGTTTGCAGGACTGCATTGAAAAACAGCCACATTGCAGCTAATTTTATATCCCAACGGTTCTCTCTGTTAGAAACTTCCAAAAAATCCCTGGTCTGGCCCACCTCCTTACCTCATTTTTTTTTTAAAAAAAAAAATCAAACCAAGTGAAAGAAAGGGGGAGGCACAAATCTTATTCAGGATGTTATTCTAAACAGAGATGTCAAAAACATCCAGGTTTACAAGTCGAGTCGTGCTCAATTCCTTCTGCCTGTCGCATCTAAGATACGGTGTCTGAAATCCCCTCTAAGACTTATTGCCCAAGTTGAAACTAAGGAGATTTGTGACATCAAAAATACATCACCGATTACAGAAGATTTGAAAAACAACCTCTGGGGAATTAGTAACAGAGGAGTAACTTAACTATGTCGCTGCAAATTTTCTGGACTACACTTTCCATAGTCCTGCAGTCCCCCCACTGCAAATATTCTGGACTACACTTTCCATAGTCCTTTGCAACCTAAGGTTTATGGCCATTTAAGTCCTGGACAGCCAGATGTCTGAGGTCATCTACCCCAACTTGAGAACCAAGCAGTAATTTAGTAATTTAGCAAGTTTGTAAAATGGGGCAAAGCTCACTTAACTACTGACTCACTTAGCAGTGGAAATTTGGGCTCAGTTGTGGCCGTAAATTGAGGACGACTTTATTTCACCCCTGTGCCTTGGTCACTGCAAGCCCCTTGAGGGCCAAGACTTTGTTGTTGAATGCTGGGACCTTTAGTTGTAACGCAATAATCACACTGTCACACTCACACTTAAAAAAAAAAAAATGTTACGCCTTGCTATTCGTATCACACAATGCAGCTAAAGGTGCCCGAGTCTAGTAGACAGAAAGCCACGCTGGACTTGTCAAATATTTCCCCAATTCTTTTTTTTTTTTGGGGGGGGGGGGAGTTGGAAATTCCCTTTTATAAAGGACTGGAGCAAAATCAGCAGAGATCTGATTCTCTGTCCCCCCCCCTAATTTGGTTATTGTTGAATCATCGTCACCATCCTGAGGGCAGAGGGATCCTTTTTTGCTTAAAAAGAGGGAATTCCAGAAGTGAACTATTTCCTGATTTGGGGCTGGAGGTAAGCAGCAGCAGGGTTTCTGAATTTCCTTTCAGGAAACTGACAAGGCAAGCTGATTCCGTTCAGAGCTGGAGATTAACACTGCTCTTTGGAAAACGAACAGAATAATAGGGCTGGAAGGGACCTTGGAGGTCATCTAGTCCAACCCCCTGCTCAGGCAGGAAACCCTACACCATTTCAGACAGATGGCTGTCCAGTCTCTTCTAAAAAACTTCCAGTGTTGGAGCATCCACAACTTCTGGAGGCAGGTTGTTCCACTGGTTAATTGTTCTAACTGTCGGGAAGTTTCTCCTTAGTTCTAGGTTGCTTCTCTCCTTGGTTAGTCTCCATCTGTTGCTTCTTGTCCTGCCTTCAGGCGCTTTGGAGAATAGCTTGACTCCCTCTTCTTTGGGGCAGCCCCTCAAATATCAGAG